GGAGGCGTCCGTGCACTCGAAGTCCGTCTGAGGATCGCGGATGCGTCCACGACGTCTTCGATTCGCACCTTCGATGTGTTGGCGACGTCCTCCTGCAAGTCAGGTACAGACTCTTCAAAAGTCCAAAAAAGTCGAAATTTGTTCTAAGTCCAGACTCTTCGAATATTTTTTCTAATTCCAGAAAAGTCGAATTTATTTCTAAGTCCAGACTCTTTAAAATTCTAGAAAAGTCGAATCTACACCGGCCTCGTCAAAATACAAAAAATAGAAAAATACAAGAGATTTCGTGATTTCTTTTTTGGAACATATTTTATTTTATCAATTTTGCACAAAGTCTTTCTCGCGACAGAAAACGTACTCTGGAACGTCCAGCATCTCGGCGAGAAGGCGCCTGCCGCACGCGAACGTCATGCAAGACAGCAGCGGCATCATCGTCTCCAGATCTTGAATTCCTCTCTTGACCCAGGGTTTCAACGGTATGCCGGTCTCCTTCGTCCACTGCGCGAGTACCACGGTCGTCAGGAATTCCTGCCAGGATTTCGAACACGCGTCCACTACTTGGTGTAGAGTCTTGGCCGATATCGCGGTTGAGGAAGTCGCCGAATGGGTCTTTGCGACGTCGGCGGGGACGGAACCGAGCAGGACGTTCCTGACGAGTACGTCGAGCGCGTGGGTCGCCTGTTCGACTCCGAATTAAGACTTCGCGTTAAACTCGCACGCCAGCATGCTCCTCTCGTCTCCCACGTCCTCCGTGGCGACGTCGGGAAGACCGTGCATCCCTTCGTGCCTCCGAGATGCCAAGCTGCTCCTCAGATTCTCCTTCTCCCGTCTGCACCGCGCAAGGTCGGCGAGAAGCTTCTGTTCCTTGTCCACGGCGGCGGCCTTTCGCGCGTCGCTCAGTAGGAAAGCCGCTCGCGGAACTCCGATCGTTCTCGCGTGGACGAGATTTTTGACAGCCGCACCCGTCACGCGATCTTCGTCCTCTTCGTAGTCGGCGTCCGGAGTCTTTCGCTCGTCCCTGGGACCGGTCACGATGAAGTTCACGGCAGAGTTTCGGACTGCGGCCAGGTTGTAGTCGGTAAGCGCCCTGACGTTCTCGTGACAGACGGCCAGGTAGGACACGGCGCTTCGAAGTCGACCGTCGACGCTCGGACTATGTACGGTCGTGACGGCGAGCGCTTCCTCGGTCATGACGGACCTGACGTGGAGGACGCCTTCCCGATTTCTGAACACCAGACATTCGTCCAAGTCCACCGCGACCGGGATTCCGTCGTGACACGTAGTCGCGACGAACCCGCATATCCACACCGATCTGATGACGTCGCGAACAAACCGGTCGAGGTGCGCATCGTATCGTTCGCAGAACGCGGTGACCAAGTCCTCCGACGGCCAGGGCATCTCCACCGTCGACTCTCCGTGCACGACGGTGCCCACGTTCGAGCGCATACCGTGCTCGAACATGGCTCGCACTGATATCGCCTTGCTCAATCTCGTCAGGATGCACTTGCACATCGGTAGTTCGTCGAAAGTCTTCCTGACACGTCGACATTGCTCCTCGTCCAGGAGATAGAGTTCGGCATTCTTAAATTCCTTGTTCAACCTACGCATGCAAGCGTCGCGCCTGTTCGCAACGTGGCGAACGTACTCCCTCGAGTCGAGGAACATTAGCGTCGCGTTCGCTTAACGTGTGCACGTCCGAGATGAACGTTTCGCTGTCCGCGGTGATACTTTTCACACTACTATCCATAGTTTTCCAACACAAGGGCAAGACGTACGCGCCGCGTCGTGCGTTATTGGCCACGGGCGACCTCGTCGTGTTGCCGGCCGGCAAATCTATCGGAACGAACGTGATATCCGGAGATTCGGATACGAGTTACCTATCAGGGTAGCTAAAGATTCTTGATGGACGCGTGGAGATCGTTCGTCGCTTCGTTACCTCCGGGTTTGCACTGTCGGAGAGTCGAACCGGTCATGATAGACGACGACATGTTCAGAGGAACGTTGGTCACGGACGGCAGGACCGAAATCGATCTCACGAAACTGGAGGGACTCGCCGCGACTACGGGAATGGACGTACACGTCCACAAACCGAAATCCGCAAACAAGAAGATCTCCTTCAACGTGATATCCGACAAGTCCGGAGTGCCCAGCGACGAACTGCAAGACGACGAAGAAGATCGCGTTCGCGACGACGTCCAAGAGTGCACATTCGAAACTCCGTCCGTACAAACCTTCAAGACAACGCTGGACGGATCGTGTTCGTTGAAAAACCTGCACCGCCAGCTCAGACGGACGCACGGCGACAACTTTCTCAAGACGATCATTGCTCCATCGACGGATTCGGGCGGAAAGATACAGCTGTACGTCATCGTGAACAAGTTGTCGACGCCGACGTCCGGTGAGTGTGCGGGGAGACTCTGGACTTTTTTGAACTCTTTTCAACGTCGCCTGTTCGATCGCGTTCTTCACAGGAATCTTATCGCACTTGTTCTTACGCGACGACGACGACGACCAAGCGCCTAACTCATAAAAGCCGATCGATTACCAAAATTACATTTTAATCGAATCATCAGACAGGAACTCGCTATGACGAGAGCCGAGACGGAGCGACTTGCTACCACGTTGTCCGGATTGGATGAGCAAATAGAGGAGTTGATATGGGAAGGTTCGTTATCGATGTCCGGGATAGGTTGAACAGTTATTATCGATTGTTTTTTTATAAATAAAGATTTTAAAAACAATAAAAAAATGTTAATCGTCTCTTTTAATTACTATTAATATTATGTCGAGAGAGTAGATGATGGCTGGAAAGAGAATCCTGGCCTTTTGCAAATATTTTTTGCAAGACCGCAAGGAAAGCGAGTGCGAATACTTCGTTCTGCCACCACTCTTTCCTTGCACGATTTGTTTCGACGCTCCTGCCAGCATCCTAGCCCAGCCGTGCAGTCACCTGATTGCGTGCGAGATGTGCGCATGTCGTATCACGACGTGTTGCGTGTGCCTACGTTCGACTAGGAAGCGGTGTACGACAGTTACGAAAATATAAGAAAGCACACTTGAGAAATCACATATTCTATTCTAACATTTTATTAGTTTTAAACATAATAATCAAGATCGAAAGAAACAAGTCCAAGCCAACCAGAGGATGAACGTCATGGCGAGGTCGTCACGCACTCCGACAGATTTTCCTGTGGAGACAGCCGTTATCTTTCCGTCGGACCGCACGAGTCGTCTGAAGTTTCGTAGCTGATCGTGCAAAGTCTCCATCGAGGCGACGTCGATATCTTCGGAGAACGCGACCCGATCGTTTTCCAGCAGCATCTGAGAGAGGTGCACTAGATTGCCCTTGTCCCTCGTCCACAGTCCGACGCATCTGGCGCCGTCCTGTCTCGTCTCCTTCTCGAACGAGACGTCGACGGACGTGCCGGCGAACCGATCCGTCACCTGCTTTGCCATCATCGCAGTGTGGGCGTGCGAAGTGTTCCGTTCGACGTACACGCGAACGGGCCAGCTGATCAGCGTTCGGTACGTGGACAGGACTTCGTTCACGGTGTCGACGACGAGGTCTGCGTGCACGTCCAACAAGGAATCCATACGGTCGACTGTGGCGACCACGTGCTTCAGAGCTAGAATCTGCGAAAGAGACAAGAAAACGGTGTTAATAAAAACTGAGCAACTTCTCTGGTTTCTAACTAATTCGCGTTAAAACATGTTGAGGAGAGCTTTCCATCCTGTGGAGTGCGACCTGGATTTCTTGCGATAACGCAAAGACCTCTTCGTCCGATGGAAGAGGGAGACCGACGCCAAGGCGATAACGGCCGAGATAAACGCATCGGGTTTGTCGCACGGCGAGCTGGTTACGAGAACCTGCGGCAGAGAAAACGTTATGGACGCGAACGCAACCGTGGAGGACATGACGGAATTCAGAGCGAGCAGATCGGTTCTGATTCACGCCCTGACCGCCGTCGGGGCTGCCACCTCGCAAAAGATCGGTCGGCTCGAGGAGATCGCCAACCTGGAAAATACGATGCTCATGTCGTTTGAGCTTGCCAACCTCGTGTACGTGCCCGGCGTGGAAACCGAGTACAGGAATTTGGAACCGGAGGAAAGACACTGGATAATAGATAGCGCGAAGAACCTCGCGAACCAGCTGCTTACCAACAGCTACGATCAGCCGCTGTGGAACTCGATCGGAGGTTCGCCGATGGCCGTGGCCGTGTCCGTCTTTCAGACGCGGGTGTCGAACGCCGACGCCGGCGAACGGGGCACCGCGATCTGCCGAGGTCCGCGAAACCACGCGACGTACGCGCTGAGAAGGATAACGGAGAAGAGAAGCAGAGCTTGCAAGATACCGCCAGTGAGACTCACCTGTCTGAGATTGCCGTCGGACGTAATCGCCCCCGTGACCAGACCTATGCCGGACACGTCCGACGGCGTGGGATCCACGGCGATCAAAAGACCGGATGCGAATCCGGATCTCCTGCCGGACCTCCGTTCTTCGTCGAACAGCCGGGAGAGCAACCTTCCGGAGAAAAGACGTTCGGTGAGCGACGAAGTCGAGCAGACTGGAATGCCCATGCATTCCAGCTCGTAGCTTCCGCTCGCAATCAGAT